GTCTGCACTCAGTTTCACGAGCATTCCCACATAAGACCGCACTTTGTGTGCGGCCTTTTCACGGCGAAGCATTAGATTTCTTTTCAAATTGTGTATGAAAACTGGGAGAAAAATGGCAGACACTTAGCTATGTGAGTGCATTTATTTGTAAGATGGTTTGATAAACAGCAAAGATCCAGTCATTTGTCATTTCCAGGTGTCGGCAGACAGCTCACAAGACCGGTAACTTTCAGGCAGAGCCAAATAGCATAACACAGTGAAAATATGTTGCTCTCAAATATCCATGCAATTAGGTCCTCCAGACCAATGTCTAATTCATTAGCAGGTGGTTGATGCACTTGAGGAATTGGGTTCTGATTGACCTCAGCAACATTCTGGCGGGATTCGAATTCCAGTCCTGTAAAAGGTAATTAATTGTCGAAAATCGCTGCATGTCATTTTCGCTGAGTGACCTGCGGCATATGCCAAATTTCGATTTTTACGAATGTGTGTGTCATTTCTGATTCGTCCAAGTTTCTTGCAATACACTACAGCGCAATCCAAGTTGATACTGTGAAAATGCCTCACTAATCAAGGTTGATCACAAAGGACAGAGCCAACGGATGCGTAATTTGAAGTCGTAATTGTACAAAATGGCAAAATGCAAACATTTACTCACCCATTTCAATCATATATTCCCACCATTCCTCTTCACTGATTGAGCTCTCATCAGTTGCAGGGCTATCTGGATGGGATTGCCCCAGTGCATATTTGTCGTCCAAACAGTCACCATCATAGATTTCCTCATCAGATATCACTTCCAAATCGCTATCCATTTTAGGTGATGGATCTGGCTCCTTTTCCGAGTCTGATAAGTCATATCCATCTGGAATAGAAATGCACAGGAAGCAATCATCAGCCAGTCAATTGACTTGAAGACACAACAGACTACTTGACATTCACATTTGTTTGGGTCTTTACGTCTTCCTGGAATGCAACATTGATGCACTCAGTATTATTTGGCTTAATCGGACACATTTGCAATTCCATTGAGGAAGTGAATTATACCAAAATTGCTCACCGATTTAGGCGCATCATTGGAAAAAGTGTTAAATCGAAATTGTGCAACGTTTACTAACCACTGCCAATATCTGAAACACCAGATTCCTGTACTTGAATAGAGCTCTCATCAGTTACGTGGCTTTGTGCATGTGACGGTTCCATCGTCTGTTTCCCGTGCAAGACACAAATGTCTTCTCAATGAAATCCACTGGTTTTTATACATGCGCACTGTCAAAACGCGTGAAAATGACATCATCAATAGGCGTTATGACGAACATTGATTGGGCTTTCTACTCGAGCTTATTTCCCATTGGTGGCATCAGTTTGTTATTTATCACTTTCACATACACGGAGGTGGGGACACCTAATTTAAACAGAGATGACTGAACGCTTGTAAACAAATCGTGTTTGCTTTCACATATCTTGTCTCTGTTCTCGGGTTATTTGTAGCTATGCTATTCCTACTAATCACAAGATTAGTAACAACAAAGGATTAAAGTTTAGAGCTTTGTTTTGTGTGTAAATTAGCCCAAGTTGTTGGCATTTTACGTACTAACTTGTGTAAGTGCATGAATCAAGCATCACTTTCGACGCATATCCTTATGACGCGACACATCTGTCCAGATATATTAACTACCACGAAAACTTACGACGAGGGATCTCATGTTGTCTCCATTATGCGACAAAAGTATCGAGTGACAAGTTTACATGAGCCCAAGTACGTGGTTTAGAACGCAGCAAAATGATGTTCAACAAATCAGTTTACAACGCGAATTTTAGAGTCGCGATTCTTAACTGCGCTAGAATAATGTGCACATCAGACACTCGTCATGCTGAATGACCAACTCGCCATCAAAATCAAATCAGTCCGTCCACATCATGCCCTCATGCCTCATTTGTCAATAATTTGAGTGACTTTGTAACACTGTGTACAACAAGTGTTTTCAAGCAACATCGCAATGTACGTCCGGCAGGTCTACGTGTGATGGCTTTTGAGGAAAATGCCAAAAAATGGCCTGTGTCTCAGCAACCTATTTGAGCTCCCGTTTTTCCTAAGCAAGCAGACAGGGCTTCTGTTTAAATAGCTCACGCTTAGCGACGTGTATCTTGATGTTTT